GTTTTACGACATGTTCTTGGAAAGAAACAGTGCAATGTTTTTGCATGTCATGGCACGTCAAGATATTTTATATTCCTAAGAAAAAAAGTCTATTGTTATGCCAACAGCATGGCTGTAATGCAGCACCTTTATTGCATGTAGCTATTGCATGAATGCGTCTCTTTCTCAATTGCAAACAAAAGGAATTTACACCTGATGTTACTGAGCAGATTAAAGTGGGAAAAATGAAAGCATGAAATATCACAACAGTTTAAAAAACTATTAAAAAATAAATTCATCGATGTGTTTTCAATTTCTCTTATATGCAAGCTTTATATTCATATTGCACAAATGCACAAATGATTTTTAACGGATGAAAAAAATAATAATTAGCAATTGGTTTAAACATTCTTTATTAGTTCCCATGATATTTATTAAGAGCAACAAATACTAAACACAATAGAAGACTAACGACAGAGTAAATAAGAAATGCGTCGGGCATTCCTACTAAATGCACCACCCCACCCCCCACAAAACCGCCCGCGGCAAAACCCAATCCCATATACACTCCATTTAGAATCCCCTGCAAAGTATGCGACGCTCCTGGGTGAAGTCCCACATACGAAACACAGGAAGCCCAAAACGCTGCTGTTGTTATTCCTTGAAGCAATTCCGCTGGTAGAACCCACCACGGGCTCGTCATGAAGTAAAAATATAAAAATCTAAGCGAATAGCAAACGAGGGCTAGATAGATGATGTTCACGTGACCAAAGCAGGAGATTAAACGGTCCGATATGAGGAAAACACCCACTTCAGCGGCACAGTTCATGCCGTTGATAACGCTGAATAGAAATTGCTCTCCGCCCATTTCATGTAGATACCAAAATAGAAACGTCTCGATAAATCCTGTAGCGGATCCACAATAAAATGCTATTACAAGAATAAAGCAATACTGAGGACTACGAAGCAATTTTAGTCCATTCCAAAGACCCGAGGAGTCTGTTTTATCGGACACTATTTTCTCAGTCTCAACTCTGTTGTATCGGAACTGCGTTGCGCATAGAAACGCAATCCCCATGGCAACACCGTATACRTAWAAGCATGGGAAATAATTAATGATAACTTCTCCGTTACATCTGGTAGAGTAGCTCGTACTAACWGCTGCGCCGACCGAGAATCCACCCACGCCCCACCCAAGGGATCCCCATAGRCGCACTCTACCATACTTGTGTAAAGCACCGTCCAGACTTGTTAGCGTCGCGGTATCCGCCATCATGTGAGTSGGCGCAGAAACKATTGTTCCGATGACGGTCACGRCGAGGAGAAATCGGAAAATTTTGGGTTCGCTTGTGATGTTGTCGTGTAAGACGTGAGTAAGACTGTCTTCGTCTTCTGATAGGCTGACAGTCCATGGTTGAGGAAGAAATAACGGTAAATCTTTTGCTCCTCTTAAATGAGTCTT